CAAGAAGAGAATATTTGTCTCTTAATGACTGTGTATCAATTCCCTTTGCAATCAACACAAGCTGTGACAAGAAAAAGAACAGAGTCTCCTCCAGTCACTTGACAGCTCCCAACATTTTTTATCTTTCACTGGGGTGAAATTAAATTAATTTCATTTTGGATAATCAATATGGTACTGAATTTCTAGTCAGGTAAACAACAATATTTTCCCACATGCAAAAATAAGCCTGAAAATACCACTACCAACCCTACCGTCTACCCCCTTGGCATGTAAAAGAGCATTGAAATTTGCTGTATTTCTAGGAGAATATAGATTTTCCTGAAAAGAAAACCTTGTAAGAAAAGTCAGACATCATGTTATTGTAACGAATTTCCCATAAATCCAAAACCTTGTAAATAAAAAATTACTTCAATTTAGTATCAATTATTAATATAACATCTACATAACAAGTCCATGCTAATATACTGAGTTTAGGCAAGTACATCATAAAATGCAGATGAATGAGGCACTTCAAAGGCAGGAATGGATCAGATAAATACAGACACTACAATCATAAGACTTCAATACACCCTCCAAAAAATTATCAGCATATATAGATGGTGAAGAGACCTTGAGCCCCTGAGCTGTGTTGTCCTCTAACAAGGTTAAACTCATCTCATGCAACAACAAACACAGTATTGCACTAGTGTCCAGTAACACATTAGGATTATTATTACTACACAATATATATATAATTATCAGAAAGAACAGGACTGGGCTTTACTGTTGCACATTCCAGTTGTTTTAATGGCATCAATCTTGAGACACTACCTGTGCCTATTTATCCACTCTGGCTCCTTTTAAAACAATGAATTACCTGCCTGTGCACTACTGGCTCAGAAAACTGTCTGCTCTCTCTCAAGTCTCCACTTAATCCCATAGATTCTCAGCTAGCACATCTGGCTTATGTTCTGTTCCGTGGCTAAGCTGACCCCTATGACTACTGAGTTGAATTGTTAAGAAAGAAATGCAACACAACCTTGTTTTTTAACATGGTTTATTTCAGTGATCTTATGCACACAGTCTCCATACATGGTATTTTTTTCAGGACTGAGTGGGTTGCGAACTACAGCATGGTGTAGGAAAGAGCAGCCAGAAACTTCTGAAGTCAGTTTTGAGCTGAAGGAACTGTAACAAAAGTTACAGTTCTCTGGGAGAAGAGGTAGAAGCAATATAAGTCATGGCTAAGAGAAACACCCTTCTAAAAGAAGTTCTTTAAAACAGGAGTTGAAAAATGCACAAAACTTCAAATTATTTGAAGTCTTAAAAAGAAAAATTTATCAACATCCTTAGCTGAGACATTTTGCCACAGTCTGAGGCATGGTCTTTTGAAGGATTGTGCCAACATTAGTTTTCAGGGTTTCTTTCTTTGTCCTGTGACCCTTCGGAAGCTGGACATGGCCAAAAGGTCAGTCCTGTGGGGTGGGAGACTCTGAGAAACTTGGAGTCTATTGCTCTACAATACACCTGGTGTAGAAGCCTCATTTCTCATCCACTATAAATAAATTCAGAATTATTAAGAGACATACCATTAACTCAAAATTTTATGTCGCAGCTGGGGAATCTGCTGAGGATACACTCATAAGCTGAGGTCTATTTTATGACCTCAGATGTAACTCAAACCATCAGCTCATATTGGCTCAGCCCTTCGCTGACAGGGACCATGTCACGTATCCCGCAGGGCGGCTGGAAGCCACCAGCGGACAATGGGGCGAGCGGCTGACACCGGCCAGCGGGGCCCAGGCAGAACAATGCAGCTGCTGCGGAGGTTGGCCCTGCTGAAGGAAACTCACTTCTCCCAGGTTGTCTGAGGGGAGGGACGCTGAAGCAATGGAAATTCCCCAGCAGTAAAGGAGAACAAAAGAAGAGGTGTTGGAAGCTGCTGTTAAGAAGAGACAGCTTCTTCCAGGGCCTGACAAAGCACAGGAGATTCCCCCAGCTGACAGAAAGACATTCTGTTCTGCAGAATGTGATCCTCCGGGAAGTGTAGATTAAAAACTACTCCCTTACAGAGAACCAGAGCCTTGTAACTCCCCGCTATTCCCCACTGGAGCACAGGGTTGAGGACACAGCTGTTGCCAAGGGACCTGCTTAGGCCAGGGGTGGCCCTGGATCCAGCAGAGCCCCCCAGACCAGAGCTGGGCATCAGACACCCGCAGCCGAGACCTGGGATCTGCACCAGCACCAGTGTTTTTGCATGGATCTGGAATTCTCTAGATTTCCCCCTGTGATTAAAAGGTGTGGCTGCTGAAGAAATCAGTTTACAGAGCTTCCAAATTCCTTACTGCCGTTGTTATTTGTCTGCAACAGGAGTATCCGTGAGGCCAGGGCGTGGGGAGGGCGTGCTGGGGCTCAGCGCTGCTCTGGGGCCACCGAATCCCCCTTACTAGCAGGACTAACTCTACAAGGTCTCTGCACCTGGAAAGGAAACTTGAGGAGTAATCCATATATGCTAGATTAAAATACCTGGTAAAAATCCTTCAAACCCACACACATCCTTCCCTAAAAAAAGTTTTAAAGTAAAACCTGTGATTTTACAGCATACTTTTTTTAGTAGCACAGCCATAATAGGTGTTTTTATTGAAACAAAGGGAAAAGTTACATTGATTTATAAAATCATTTAAAAGCCACGACAAAGAGCAGGGTCTAAGTAGACCCGTTGACTTCCATGGCTTTTGGATCAGACCCAGAAGAATGCTGGACTAAGTGGTGAAGCATTTTATTTTCTAACCTTTCAGTGGCTACTGCAAACAATGGAAAATACAAGTACATACTTAGAATAACTCTATCCTTTGCAAAATGAGATCACACCTAAAAATACTTCCTTTTGTTGCTGTATAACTTCAGTTTAGGATAATAGTTATTACATGCATATAGTGAAGAGGAAAAAATATCTCTGCTAAGCAGGGTTTCTCCTACAGAAGAAACTTTAAAATATGTAGTGATTCAAGACAATTTATGAAATAGTAGAATGAAAAATCTAGTTATCCATGGACAACATGAAATAAGGTAGTAAAAATGCCCAGGGGACTGAGTTACCAAATTATTGCTTGCAGTCAGGAGAAGCTACATGATGATGATAATTCTTAGTATCAAAATTATATCAAGTTCTAAGAAACAACTGAAAAATGTATCTGAATTTTAGTTTTTCAGTTTGAAACAATTAGAGCTAGCCCACACAGCTTGAACTTCCTGGGATATACATGTGCTATTAATTTTTAACTTTGCTGTAGAATCCAAGCCTGAATCACCAGGCCCTGTCACTTTCTAGTGCAAAGGTGTGTTTTGTCTGCTTGTACCAGCAACTTTTCCAGCACCCTTTCTTCTCAATTTGCAAAGATATTTTTCCTGACTTTTAAAAACTATCTCCTTGAATTTCCTCTGCAACTTCCAATGCAGCTGACTTTCACAGCTGTGTTGCCATGCTACAGATTTCATCATTGTTTGACTAGAGAAGACTGTTGGTTAAACTAAAATCTCCACTTAGAGTGATTTTCTACAATTTTTCATCAGTTCCCTGCTAAGTAGGACAGATCTAACAGCAAACAATATTTCTATAACCTGAAGAGCAAATTAACATTTATTGAATAGCTCAGCACTGACCTTCTAAAGAGAAGAGCAGCATTTTCTTACAGCTTCTTCAACTCCATTACACATAGAATTGGCTTGTTTTTATTTCTAAAATACCTATTGAGATTAATTCCAAAGTATTTCATCAAAAACAAAAACAGAGAAGAGCAAATGCAAAGTTGCTGCAGAAACAGAAATATATCCATTGCTTTAGAGAGTGTAGAGATGGCCCTGTTCCCTTCTCTGCCAGTGGGAATTTTACCACTGACTCCAGAGAAAGCACAACCAAGGTAGTGATTTTCTAACACTTGAAGGCAATTATTTTTATTTTAAAACACAGGAATAGCCTCCTGCTCTGATGCAGTTCTTAGCCTGAGGCTGTAGCCCTGCCAGCGCTGTTAATGTCATTGTTTGTGAAGCGTATTCCCAGTCTCCATACACCCACGCAGGGCTCCCAGCTCCCGGCCGCGATGTCCCCCTCGACACATTGTTCCAGCTCCCCCTGCTTCCTCACCTCCCGCCCCGTCCCCCACCATTGTTATCCCTTGACACCCACCCTGCATTGTTCTCACACCCGCCTGCCATCCCCACCTGGGAGGGACCCTTCCTCTCTCCCACTCCTCGCAGCAGCTCAGGCTTCTTTCTTACCTATTTCCATATATTCCACTGACCTACTGCCAGCAGAGCATTTTCCCTTTCTGAAAGCACATTACATAAAGTATCATTACCACATCCCACAGCTTCTGCAAGCTGTGGGCACTCGGCTTTGAGAAGCCCAGTCCAAAGCCTCTTAAAGAACAAAAAGATTTTTATTTCAATGCTACAGACTTTAGGTCAGACTGTGAGCTAGGACTGATAGAAAGTATTACTGCATTTTCAGATATGGTATAAAAGGCTAGAGCTGATATTTGTTTTCACTAGGGAACTAAAATATGTAATGAGACAGACATATATGTACAGAAATGGCTGACATGATTTACACAGGTTCCATTATTTTGGTCATCTTGCTTTTTCCTGCTCTCTAGTTTGTACATCCACCAGATTCTTTTGAAATAGTTCTCTGTACTTTGCTGGATTTTTCATAAAGGTATATAGGGATATTGAACCCAATTTTTTATATACTCACTATTTTTTTCCTTACTTTTTTCATGATACTTCACTTTCTCTGTTGAACTGCTTTCAAAATGATACTCCTTCCTTTCACAATATCGTGTTTACTATATAGAGTATGATGCATTAACTGTTTCCCATGCTAAAAGTTTATCCTCGGGAAGAACAGCAGCTATATATGCTTAGAGATCAAGTATAGCAATAAAAATGAATACCTCGCTTTATTAATATTTATTAATGTATTTTGTATGTTCAAACATGAAAAACTGGTTAAGTCTTACCATGGCTCATGCGATGAAAGCAGTAGTATGCAAAGTCCACTCCCAGAAGCGTCAAATACCATGTCCATGGCGAGTCCCAGGGCAGTTCAAAGAGTCTGTAGTTATTCCATACGTATATGTAACTAATTAACTCAACACTTCTGAATAAAACACTGAAATAGAGATCCAGAAACTTTTATCAGTAATTCTGTCAGTTTTAATTTCAGAATATTTTATATATTTACAGTTTACCAGCTGGAAATCTTTTTACACCACATAAAACCACTCTTCAAGCTCTCCAACCTCTGTCAAGCAGACTACTATTGACTTCATTGGAACCTTTGCTTAGTGTCTACAAGGTTTCTAAAACCAACTCCCACCCACTCACCACCTATGCTGTGGAATTAGGTACATTCAAAGGCTGAAGCACTCTTGTGTTCTGCAGGCATTATGGTGTTCCTGTTTTTCCAGAACTGGAAGAAACCAATACCTGCTAATTAGTAAGTCAGAAGTGACTGAAGTGTAGCAGCAATTATGTTGAAACACTAACGTATTGCATTAAAATATCTTGACTGCTTCCATTACAAGAAAGAATATGGAAGGGGGCAGGACTTCTGGGAGCAGTGAAATGTTTGATCTGCTCATCACATTGCTTCACTTCAAAAGAGGATAAATGCAGCAGGAGGAGACAAAGACCAGTGCCTTTAAAAAGAACGGGAAAGGCAAGTGGATTCTGAGAAAGAGAAAGAAAAAAATAACAAACTTCCAAAGGCAAGGAAAGCCCCCAGACAGCAGCTCTCACTGCTGCTGAGTTCCTGGACTACAGGAAAAGGGTAGCCGTCCCTGGCTTAACACCAGCTCAGCACTGAGACCAGGAGAAGGAGAAAGAAAGTAGCTTTGGAATGGGCAGGCCAAACCTGGTAGTAACTCTCCACAGCTGCTCAGATTAATACAAATTTGGGTTGCCATGGTTGCACCCTCCTCTCAGCACCCTACTACCTCATTTCACCAACTGGGGCCCTGAGCTACCTCCAAACAAATTACTTTGATTTTGCTGGGTGAGATTTTGGGTGAATCAGGAAGCATTAAACCCAGGTTTGAATGGTGAGAGGCTGTAGGCACTGGGATGGCCCAGGTCACAATTGGCTTAGGTAGCTGCAAAGGGGTGCTGCAGACGCAGATGGATACACGTTTAAACTGGCAATTTTGTAGAACAAACCAGTCCACAGCAGGATTTGTAGCAGATTCCTCACACTGTCTCCTATTACTCTCCTTTGTTGTGTGGCTGAAGATGTAGTGAAACGGTGGTAAACTGAATTAAATCAGCCTTTGAAAAGCAGAAAACAGAAAAAAAAGAGAAGCAGGGGAAAGATACTAATCATAGAAAAGTCACAAATATCCTTTTTCATATATCAATGGGTGACATTCACCTCAGTTTAGGGCCTAAGAGTAAGAAATAGATAAAAGAAAAAGATAATAACACACACACACACAAAATGTGGTTCTCAGATGTTATACTGCTGCTATTCTGTGCGGGGGAGGTAGAAGAATTATCAGCAACACCTTTGTACAAAGTCGTGCAAGGCTTTAAAAACCTATAAAACATATTCATAGTTGAAGAAAGACTCCGGGATACAAATTCAGGGAGCTTCCAAAGAACACTGCAGATAGCACACCTGTAGACACTACTTAAATAGAAGTGGCAACAAACTGCCATACAAGTTTCAGCCATGAAAAGCCCTACCCAAACACCAACATCTCTATTTCACCTTAGTCTCATCTAGAACTTCACCTTACACTGAAATCAGCTGAAAGATTCCCTGTGCATCTCTGGCACATCTGCTCATTCTTGCCTCAGTACCACTTCTCACAGATACTTCTTTCAATACCCTCCCTTTTTTGCCTATTTTTTTTTTTAATCAGCTAGACTATTTTTGATATACTTGACAGCATGGCCAGAAAAATACTAGAATCTGCAAAACTAAAAAAGGATATATATACTCCTTCCCCTTTAAAGACTTTTTTCACACATCTGGAAAACATCCCTGAAAACAGTCTGGCCATGCCCTGTCCTTTTGGGCAGCTGCACTGAAACAGAAGGGAAGCTCAGCAAACATGGTTGTTTCAGCTTGCAAGCCATCCCCCCGTGCAATAGCTGAACTCTATCTTTTTGCTTTATACTTTTTACTCAGAGCTTTTATACTCCTGGCATTAGCACCTCTTCCCATAAGTGTTTTGAATAAAGCTAGAAGAAAACACCTTGATTTTCTCTGGTGCTAGTTTCACTGTTAATTAAGAAAAAAGTCATCTTTTCAAAATCCCAACCTCCCAATAAGAGCCTGCAAGCATAATAGTATCACATCCACCATTTTATCCTGAGAGCTGAAGCACTGCAAGTAGCTGTTGCTCAGAAGAAAAGAAATAATATTTTTTCCACAGCCAGGTGCACATCTTACCTACAACTCACTCCCAGCTTTGCTATAATTATACAAGTTTTTCTCTTGAATAAAACCAAGACACAACAAACCCCATGAAATTTCATTTCATTTTAGCAGCTTGACCGTGAAGAATTTCTCTTGATTAGCAAGGACAGGTGTATCGACCACTTCAAAAACAACTTGGCTATGCCCAGAAGGTGGACCATACACACCTGGAACATGTTTAATTTTCATAAGAGCTGTGTTCTATAAATATTTTTAAAGAAGATTATATGTCCAAGCAGATTTTTGCAATTCACCTCATGAGGAATCTGTGAAGTTCAGTATAAATTCTCAATCCATTTCACAACAGGTCAGAAGGGAGCTGATATTATTCAAACACAAAGAAATGGGCATTTCTTAACATCTTTTCAATGACCAGGAAATTTAAAACACCTCTTGTAACATAGAGTACGAGTTATTATTAGGTACTGTTTTCTTACTTTATTCTTCTGCTTTTATTAACATATAATGCCTTTGCAGTACATCCAAAGACATGTGACCTGGAACGCTTCCTCCATTTTTGATCAGGTTTCAGTATTTCACCCTTGAGTCCTTTTTTTTTTCCACAGGCTGAGGCCAAGGTGCAAACCTTGAGCTAACCCTGCAACACATTTTTCATATATGCAATTTTCTCTACATTCTTTCCTTCATGCTTGAATCACAACCTACAGCACATAACGTTAGCTGATTACTGTAATTAATTTAGAGTAATCCATCATATTACTAGGCAGTGCTGCAGAAAGAAGAGTTGCTTAACTAAGTTGCTTTTCTTTAAATTTACAGTGTGATAGGAAAGACCAGAGCTTGCATTCAATTACAATTCCTAAAGTTCACTTGGAGTTTTAAAGGTTTATATTCCCCCTTTTTTTCCCCTCAAGGTCCTTTTTCACTTCTTGAAAATACTAGGAGAACTTAAGAAAACTTTTTCCTCATTTAAATATTGTAACCATAAATGTGGTAGAAGCGGATAGGCAAGACTTTTGTCATCTAGTCCAATCCTCTGCATAAAGAGTAATAAATCCCAAAACAGACAGACTGCATAGAAAACCTTATTATATACATTACTGCTGAAAATTTTCTTATTATGTGCAAAGCACACTTAGGCAACTGTTATGACCTTGAGAGTTCTTGTCTTCTTGTTTCTAAAGATCATACAAACTTTAATTAATGGCAATAATATTTGTTTTTAATAAACCATTTCCCCCTTCACCTTCCACTGAGTCAGATTATCACTTCCTCTAATTAAAAAAGTCCAAGAAGGAAATTCTGGGAGATGAACTCTCCATGTGGAAATGAAGATCTACTTATTCTAGATCCCTATGGGATAATGAAGGAGGGAAAAGGTGGAAGAAATTCAATTGGAAGAAAAGGCAGCTGCCCATTTCAAAGAATACAAGGTCCTGTTTTGCTTCCTCCAGCCATAGAGCCTGAAACCATATCTTTAGGAAACTTCTTCCATGGTGCCCAGGACAGTGACCAAAAATGAAAACAGTCAGACAGGAGCTGTTGTCTCTTTTCCAAGCATGGAGGAAGATCTGTGTACCAAAAGTGAATAGTCCAAGGAAATTGCCTCAGCTCTCACCACTATTGCAGTCACCACCTCACATCACACTGGGAACTGACCTGGTGCCCCTGAGCTAAAAACACAACCCTACAGCTGGACCTACAAAAGCTGTGCTCTCAAGGGCTGTAACAGACTTGCATCCTTGGAGGTCAGGCACAGAGGGATGCATGTTAAGACACCCTGGTCACAAGGTTATATTATCATTAAAAATAGTGAGATCTTACTACTACAGTTTCCCTGCGTAAAATAAATTCTGTTTTCATAGCCTGATTCAAACTATATAAATGTAAAGTTTCAAAATGCTGAACAAAGGCAGTTTTTCAATAATTTGAAGTTATTCAGACCATTTATGTAACAGCAGGATACATGAATAATTAAATTCTCTGTAAGGTTTTATTTCAGAATGGAAATCATAAGGATTTCCATTTCCAAGGATACTCATAGAGCTTTCTTTTCCAAATGAAACACTGGCTCCAGCCACAATTGAAATAAACATTTTGATAACATGATTTCAGTAAAGAGAAAAAAGGGGAAAGAGGTAGAGGAGCCTTGAGAAAAGATCCATTTGTAAAACAAAGCAAATCTGCTGCAACTGAAATCCCCTTTTATTTCCTGTACAGGTGCCAGGTCTTGAACAGACACCCAATTTATTACCTTGTCAGCTGACTTATTAGGGTTGACACAAATCGAGCTGAAATATGCCTGACACACTGCAGTCAAGGCTTTTTTCACGCTTTAGCACAAAGCCAAACTTTCCACAAGGTGGAGGGAAAGGGAGAGGGAGCTGTGGGAGTTCTATTCCCTGTTTTCTATCATCAAGATGAATATGATCTCCTCTCCCATTCCTAATATGCAAAACCCAAGGCTAAAGAATAATTCACCAAAATGATACAGCTGGGAAATTATTATCAGGCTCTGGAAAACCCTTGATTACAGGAAATAGCACCTACATTTTGAGAAAATGTTCCCACCAGACACAAAAGCTGAATCAATGCCTCTCCTCTTCCTCAGTATGGCTTTCTTCTCCAGCATTTTAGCCTAAACAATACAAACCTGCAGTTTTCCTCAAGGACAAAGGAAAATATTCAAGTTCAAATTGAAGCAAAAGGGAGGTGACCCAGGTATCCCT